AATATGGCCAGGCACAAATTGACAAACACTAGAGCAGTCTCTGACTATTTTTAGTTCAGATACTTATAGAAAGCCAGCTGCCTGCACACCCACTGCCATGACTGGGAGTCACCAGACTTACTCTGCCCAAATAAGGATGGCACTGCATGGTAGACCCCATTGAGGGTGGCCTGACAGGTGTCATGGGCCACTTGAGGGGTCAGAGTACCAGGGAGGGGCTCCCCATGGGCAAGATTCCTTATTGTGCCTTGGTCCTTCATCTTGAGCTCACATCAACTACTACTGTCTGTTGTGTGGAGCAGCATGCTGCCTGCCCCAGAAGGGCCCAGTGTGGCTTCCTCTCAGCTTCTGGTGGCCCATGTAGCATGACACTGTCATAGGAGGCTCCTTCCTTTCGAGGAAGCCCCTGTGGAGAGAAGTTGCAATTCTGCTATGTAGGGCTGGGGAGGTATTTCAGGGAAGGGGACTGGAGAAGGACTCTGTGCAGCAAGGGGCAGAGTGTCAGGTCATCTGGAAACAGTAGCATGTCCAGATGGGACACCAGTGTGAAAGCAGGGGCCTTGTAGTGGAAAGCCTGCAGAGAGCCTGTGTGCACATTAGGACAAGGCATCCCTCAGGGCAGATGTAGCCCTCAGATGGGTGGCTTACTCAGTGATACTGTGTGGAGGGCCCCGCCTAACCATACAAACCCAAGGACAGCAGAAGTGTGCTCAGTGAGTGGGAGGGAGTTGGGCAGTGGAGTGTGTTCTGCAAAGGGGAGTCCTGTACAGATCATGTTCTTTGTGCATTGTGGAGTGGGTCCAGGTTGGAGGAGCTAGGGCTGGAGAAGCAAGGAGTGGGTATCAACAAGGGCGGCCTGTATCAGAGTTTCAGTAGGATCTCCTGCTCTCAGCTCCAGGTAGCAATAAGGACCAGGCCATAGCCAGGCAGGCCTCCTGTCCTCAGCTCGTCTCTCTGTGCCCAGTTCAGCATGGAAAGACTGAGGTGATTGGGTGGGGGTGGGGGAGTGGCAGGGCACACCCATTGATTGGGCTGGTGATGGCAGTGGGATATGGTGTTGACTGTCATTGTGCCCTCTTACTGCTACAGTAGGAGCTCTGGTAGCATAGTGCCTAAGGAACTTGACTGCTAACCAGAAGACTGGCGGTTCAAACCCATCAGCCACTCCCCAGAAGGAAGGTTAGGCAATCTACTTCTGTAGTGATACTGTCTCGGAAACCCAAGGAGGGGTCTCTATGAGTCGGGTCCTACTCAGTGGCACATAACAACAACAACAACAACACTGCTATAGTAAATCTGGTCAGCAGGGTTCCTGTACTTGTCCCTCAGCAAGTGAAGCCTGACCTGATACAGCCAGTCTCCATTCAGACCCCTTGGAAGCTCCCCTGTATCTGGCTCCAGCCCTCTGAATGTGAAGTCCCTTCTCTGTAGCATAGGAACCCAGAGAGTCTCAGCAGAGAAAGGGTAGTGTGAAACCTCTCATGGATCTGAACACAGAGATCACTCTGCAGTCCAGCCTGAGCCTTGCAGGAAGCCCAGCTTTCCTGGAGCCATTCATCTTCCAGCTACTTTGCAGAGCCAGGGGAAATCAGTGCTGGGGGTTTGAAGGCTTCTATGGCCCAGGAGGGACTCCTCTGCTCATGACCCTTGCAGGAGGCAGGGACAAGGGCAGGCAGAGCTGGTATGCTTATGACGGATTCTTACCCAGGGGCTTGTTAGAGTGCAGGGTCAGACTGGGCTGGTGAAGAGGAGTGCAGGAGGAGGAGGCAATGAGGGACTTCCCTCCCTGAGGAGGGGAAAGGCTGCCGCCGAGTGGCTGTCTACTGGCTAACAGGAGTTACTATAAAGCTGCTTATGAGTGTGCAGCTCTCTGTCCAGGCCCAGCCTTGTCTCCCTTCCACTTTGAGCCTATCTGACCCACTATTTGAAGTCCCTGGGTCCTGTGCTTCGGCTGGAGGAAGCAGAGCTAAAGACTAGGAGTGCCTGTCTGGGGCCAAGACTAGGGGTAGCCTCATGGATGGGAGCTGACCCAGCAGAGAGCATGAGAGTGATGTCTCAGGGGCCTGGGTGGGGAGCACTGAGCTGAGCCCAGCAGGAAACCCCTGCTATGGAGGGTCAGAAAGAGCTAGGTTGAGAAGGTTCATTTGGTGGGTGAAGTGGAAGAGGAAGTATGCTAGGACTTGTTTCTGTCTAGGAGGGCAGGTTGGGGCCAAGAGACGGGTTTTTTTTTTTTTTTTAATAGATTTTATATTTTAGAGAAGTTTTAAGTTTACAGAAAAATTGTGCAGAAAGTGTAGAGAGCTCCTGTTGCACCCCTTCCTTCCTGTACACTCTTTTCCCTATTGTTATCTTGCATTCCTAGGGTATATTTGTTTCAACTGATTAATCCATATCAAAAGATGTTTATTAACTAAAGTCTATACACCTACTCCTCACTTATGGACATGGTTAGGTTACAAAGACCTTGTTGTCATGTAAGAATTGGCATTATGCACAAATGCAGGATGCCTGCATCCAGTTATAAAATGGAGGATGACTACATCATTATATAACTGGCAAGTTACATCATTACACAATTACCAGATTACATCATTTTATAACTGCCAAACCACTGAGAATCATGGCCCAGCCAAGCTGACACATAATCTTAATCATCACAGCCAGCTTTATTCTTCCTGGTACCTAGGTGTCCATTACTGCCAGACGTATGCTGTTAATGTACAAAATAGTCAGATATTGTTGTAAATGTGAAATGTCAATAATGAGATAGTCAATAAGTGAGGAGTAAGTGTGGTGTACATTAGGACTCAATTTTTGTGCTGTGGATTTTAACAAAGGCATAATATCATGTGTCCACCATATGTGGTAAAAAAAATTGTTTCACTGCCCTAAAAATGCCCTGTGCCTATTCATCCCTCCCTGATCCCTGAACTCCAGACAATCACAGTTTTTTTTTTTTTTCACTGTCTCTACAGTGGCTTTGTGTGTATATCTCTCTCTGTGCCACTGTGTGTGTCTACCTTTATGTCTCTCTGTGTCTCTATATGTCTCTTCCTTCTGTGTGTGTGTCTCTCTCTATATCTCCTTCTGTCTCTGTGTGTGTCTCTATATATCGCTCCTTATGTCTCTGTGTTTCTATGTGTGTGTCTCTCTGTGTGTTTCTCTGATTCTCTGGCCCTTTCTGTCTCTCCCTTCCTATTCTGTGTTCTTTCTTCTTTCTCTGCTATAGTTTCATCTAGGGCTGAGCTCTGGTAGCATAGTGGCTAAGGCACTTGACTGCTAACCAGAAGGCTGGTGGTTCAAACCCACCAGCCACTCCTCAGAAGTAAGATGGGGCAATCTACTTCCATAGTGATATTGCCTTGGAAACCCAAGGAGGGATCGCTATGAGTTGGGTCTGACTCAATGGCAAACAACAACTACAACAGGGCTCTTAAGAGGTTTTTATGTCACAAGCTCCAGAGAACACTGCCCATCACCAGGGGGTACCCCTAAGGTAGAAGTCATGTAGGATGTTGGTGTGTGAAGGGGATAGGGCCCTACTCTCTGGTTTCCATCAAGGCAGAGAGAGACCAGTATGGTGTGGGGACTGGAACCAAGGCACAATGGAGGACATGCAGCTCTAAGTTTGGGACAGTAGTGTAGATGTCCAGCTCTCAGCCACAGCCCTTGGTTTGATTAGCCACACAGCCCAGCCCCTACCTGACGCTAATACACAGCTTTGCCCATCCCAGGACGGCTTTCAGCCTAGTTGGAAGAGTAATGTTAATGTAAAGAGACACTGCAAGGACCATGGAATGAAGCACATCCCAGGGCTTCTGAGAAATGACAACACCAGGGTCCTGTTGAGCACGATTGAAGGAGTACAGTGTCTGTGAGTGGGTGTGCACCTTGTGGGTACAGCATGCTGGAGGAGAGAGAAGATTCACCCAATTTTCCAAAGGATTTGTGGTTTACATAAAGCTGCATACTTCTGCTTTGTTGTTGTTGTTGTTAGGTGCCATCGAGTTGGACCCGACTCATAGCGACCCCTCCTTCTGCTTTAGAATCCCCAATTTCATCTGTCTACCAAGTTAGTCCATGAGAAAAATCCTAAATGCCATTAAGATTGCCATCCCTTCCTCCCTATAAGAGTAATGAGATCCTTTTGTAGAGCTTCCAGTGATCCCATCACCCTGGGCACTATTGGCAGTGGTCAGCAGACATGACTTTGTTGCTCTTGAGAGACCAGTGCCATGGCAGCATCAACTTCCTATTATGGCATGTCATTCCACTTCCTGAGGGTTAGGACTCAGGGGGCTGATGTCTCTTGAGCTAAACTTGAAAAATCTGGCCTCTCTCAATGCAGAGCCTGCTTGAATTTATGAGGAGTGGGGGTTGTGGCCCTTTCTGCTTTTGCCTCTACCTAGTTCTACTTCCATAGTGATACTGCCTCAGAAACCCAAGGAGGGGTCACTATGAATCTGGTCCAACTCGAGGGCACATAACAACAACAACAACAACAGTGCTTAGATGGTAGCATAGTGCCTAAGGCACTTGACTGCTAACCTGAAGGCTTGTGGTTCAAACCCACCAGCCACTCCTCGGAAGGAAGGTTGGGAAATCTACTTCCATAGTGATACCGCCTCGGAAACCCAAGGAGGGGTTGCTATGAGTCGGGGCAGACTTGACAGCATATAACAACAGCAACAAGAGCTTAGATGTGAGGGTCAGGATTGACTGGGTATATAGCATCTCCTCTACTCATCTGCCCAACTTCAGCCCTGGCCTCTCTAGTCTTTGACATGTTGTAATTTCACTCCAGCCTTAATGGTTTTTGTTTTACTCTATCTGTTAACTTACTCAGACTCATTTTAGAGAATAGTAGTGTTTGGGAAGGCAGGACAGTGTAGTACATAAGGATGTGGGCTACAGTTCAGACAGCTGGCTTCACCTTCAGCTCCCTTGGGCATGTTGTTAAGTACTCGATGTGCTGGTTCCTAGATTATCCAAAGGGGATGATGACAGTACCTAACTCATGGAGTGTTGCTGTGAGTGCTGAATATAGTAATACAAGTACTGCGCCCAATATCTGCCTCCAAGTAAGTGACCAATTAATGTGTTTCTTCCTTGATAAGCCCACAACACTACTATAGCTCTACAGGGCTCTATAGAGGCCAAAGGTTCTGAGCTATGTCTACATCTCAAGCTTTAAGCACTGGTTAAGAGTGTGAGGCCCACTACCTGCCAGTTTTTCATACTGTGGTGCCTTGTATGTTGATATAATGTTGGAAGATTGTGGTAATTAAAGTTGTGTGTCAACGTGGCTGTGCCTGGTTGAGTGACTGGGCAGCTGGTGGTAGTTATTCCCCATGATGAGACTGGCAATCACCTCCATGGTGGAATCTATTGGAGCAGCTGAGTAGCTGCTTTGGGTATGTGGTCTGCTTCCCATATATAAGAAACAGCTTTGGGAATGGTCTTTAGCTTATGGCATGCTTGAACCCTGCATGTAGCCATGTCATTGTTCAGTAGCTTGCCATGCTTTGCCAAACTTGGGACTTTTAATGGACTTGAATTAATGGTCTGCCATGTGGTTTGGTAACATTGGGACTGTGCCTTTTTACTTGTCAACTTTGGGCTTGGCAACCTCAGCATCCAGCAGATGTCTTAGTGAAGAAAAGCCTCTAGCTCCAGTGGGATGGGAGCAGGAGCAGAGCTGAAGCCCAAGGCTGAGGGGCTTTCACCCAGCCCCAAGCCCCTGGCACTTTGAACTTGGACTTAAAGCCTCCAAACTATAAAATAACAAACTCCTGTTTGTTAAAGCCATCTCATTTGTGGTATATTCTTGTCAGAGTGGTACTAGGTAACCACAACAAAGCTGTATCACCAGTATTTCAAGCACTAGCAGGTCACCTGGTGGACAAGTTTTGGCAGAGTTTTAAGACTAAGACATCCTAGTGAGGCCTGGAAATCTACTTCTAAACATCATACAATAAAACCTCCATGGATCACAACAGAATATTGTTTGATACAGTACCAGAAGATGAGCTCCCTAAACTGGAAAGCACTCAAAATACACAATGGGTACAACAATGGACTCGAGCATAGCAATGATCATGAAAATGACAGGGGATCAGGCAACATTTTGTTCTGTTGTACATGGGGTCACCATAAGTCAGAGCTCACTGAATGGCAACTAATAATATGTGCCAGGCATAGCATCAGAGCCTAGTGGCAGAACAATTAACAGGGTGCTGTACTACTCACCAGAATCTCACAGCCCAGTGGGGAAGACAGCAAGGAAACACATGAAATGAGCTAATAGTTGAGAATCACTTAGTACAGTGTGCCTGGCAAGTAGTGTGCCCTGAATGTTATAAAATCAATATAAACATGATCAATTGTGATGGGATTAGTACAGAGTGCTGTGAGAGCACACAGGAGGGGCAGCTAATCAGGCCCAGTGAGTCAGCTGGATAAGCATGTAACCAAGACCAGGTCAAGGAGGAGAGGGGAGAAGATTATGTCAGGCAGAGGAAAGACTTAGAGATGGAGATGACCTACCTGTTTGGGGAACCGGAAGAAAGGTTTTGTTGTAGTTGTTGTTATGTGCCGTGGAGTCAGACCCGACTCATAGTGACCCATCCTTTGGTTTCCGAGGCGGTATCACTACGGAAGTAGATTGCCCAAACTTTCTTCCGAGGAGGGGCTGGTAGGTTTGAACTGTCAGCCTTCTCGTTAGCAGTCAAGCGCCTTAGGCACTTCACTACCAGAGCTCCTGGAAGAAAGGTAGTCTGGCTAGAATTAGAGAGCAATATCACCCTTGGCTGCTAATTGAGTCCACCCAGAAGTATCTCAGAAGAAAGGCCTGATGATATACTCCTGAAAGATCAGGCACTGAAAAACTAGAGGGGCACAGTCCTATTCTGACACGAGTTGGAGTTGACTTCATGGCAACTGGTTTGGTGGGTGATTGTGATGGAAGGAGGCTAGAGAGGTAGGTGGAGGTCTGGTTGTGGAATTCTTGGAAACTTTGTTTAATTGAACTCAATGAAACCTTATTCCTGGTCTGGATTTTGAGGAGGGCTCTAATGTCTCAGCAAGCATCCAAGGCTTCCTCAGCAATCAGGAGTTTACTGCCATGCTCCTGCAGTGCTGACCAAATGAAGGGCAAGCCAGGCTAGCTTCCATGTAGGAGCAACTGGGAACACAGTTTTGACTGGTGCTCCCTGGTCTGATCACAGCCAGCTCAACTCTAATCAGGCTCTGTGTTTTCTTTCTTTGCAGATGTTGGAGGAGCTCAACTGTTGGCAACAGGAGAGTCTGCTGTCCCTGAAACCGGTAGGTCGATGGCCAAGCTTACACTGTGGGATTGAGGGCAGGAAGGAGAAACTTTCTTTGTGCCAAGCACAAAGGCATGAACTAGATTTTGTTCTCTGTGTGTCAGCACAGAGCAAGGGCCCCTGAGTGGGGTTAACAGCTTATCCCTGGGGGTGAGGTCCTGTACTGGAGCCCAGGAGAGTTCCAGTTCCTGTCCTCAAGGGGGGCATGAGACATTACAAGGCCATCTTGTGACAGGTGAGCATCTTGTATTCTGCCATTGACTCCCTGACAAATATGCACCGCTCTGGTTTGGGCCCAATTGTGCTGCTCCTTCTGTGAGGGCCTACCTGTTCCTCTCACCCAAGGGGCTTTGTTCAAGGGCAAGATCCCATCTTTGTGTGGGCCAGCCTTCCCATTAAATAACATTAGAGTGAGCTCTTTGGCCATTTTCTCTAGTAAACTGGGCCACTCAAAGATGGAGACAAGGGCTACTTTATCTTTTACCTTCAGCACTCACCACAGAGCAGGGAAATGATCTGTATTGGATAAAGGAGTAAATGAATGAATCAAAGAGTATAAGAGGAGGGGCTACAGGCATCAGAGAAATAAACAGCCAGCCACTTGGAACTGGATGATCAAATCCTGTCAAGTGAATTAATTGAACCTATTCTTGAAAGATAGGGATGACTTGGATACCTGAAGGAACCAGGGGTGGTATTCCAGGGAGAGAGAGTGGGTGTGCATGAGAGGGTGGGAAGAGAGCTACATTTATTCCTAGAGAGTGAAGGGTGAGGTTGGCCCAGCAGGTCAGACTTTGTCCTGAATGGAATGGGAGCTTTTGAGAAGGATGGCTTCTTGCTAAGTCCATTTTTCACTCTTTCTCTGGGTTGCAGATGCCAAATATGCCATCATCGGGACTGTGCTGGGAGTCATCATAACTGTTGGCTTCCTGGCCCTGAAGATCTGCATGATCCGCAAGCACATGTTTGATAATGACTCCTCAGGTCAGAAAGACAGTCCGTGAGAGCTCAGTGTTCCAGCCCAGCAGCTGTGATCCCATACCAATGAAAGGGCTCCATACTGTTGGCCAGAGGAAGACCGAAAACCTGGAACGCACAGAGACAGTCAGGCTGGGAAGGAGAGAAGTGGCCCCTCCCTGTGTCTGTCTCTGCCTTTCTCTCCCTGTCTCTGCCATTTCTCTCTCTTTTTTCTTTCTCCTCTCTCTTTCCTCTTTCATTTTCCCCCTCTCTCTCTGTCTCCCCCTTTCTCTATCCTGTCTCCCCTCTGCTTTCTCTCCCTTCTTCTTCTCTTCTTTTTTTTTCTTTCTCCCCATTTCCCATCTTCTCTATCCTCTTTCTTTCGCCCTCCCTTCCTGTTTCCTGATCTCCCTCTTTCACTCCTTCCCTCTGTACCTGTATTCTTTTTCATTCAGTCACTCTTGATATTCCTGAGAATCAGGTTTCCTTGGAGAAAGAGGGAGAAGGTGTTAAAATTAACTTCAGACAGACACTTACATTTTTCCCCCCCAAATGTGGTGATCAGATAAATTTGATCCCATTGTGAGGTGGGTGGTAGGAGGTGCTGCTGGGACCAATCATGTGGAGCTCATGCATCCCTCCCCTTCCATAAATTGAGCACATCTTACCCAGAGCCATGCTGGGTGAAGCCTCATGCTCCAAACAGAGCTTGGCTGAGTGGCTCTCCTGTCCTGTAGCACTGCAGGAGAGTGCACCTTTCAAGCAGATGCCAACCAGTTTGTGAGTTTTGTTAGCAAAACACAACATCACTTTGCATCACCCTCTCTCCTAAGATGTGGCCAAAAAAAGTCACCTGTCATAGAAAACTGCTTAGTGGAATGATACGCAGTTTTTCAGGATGTGTTTCTGACCATGAGGAGGAAGGAGCCTCACTGTGTTTCTGGAAAATGTAATTGTTACCTGTGAAGATATGTGGGAGGGGGAACCCAGGCCAGGGAAAGGAGGAGGCAAGACCACTCAGGGCTTCCTGAGATGCTGGCATGTCCAATTGCAGGAGGGGGTTGGTTGGTCATGGGAGATTGCTTATTATTGATTTTATATCCCAATAAATAAGGGAGGGGGGCAGAAAACAGCCTCTTAATCATATAGCAGCCAGGCAGCCCCATCTCTTGAGGATATCAACTAACAAGAGGGCCAGGAGCTACAAGGTGTGGAGGCTGGTGTGGGCAAGGAAAGACAAGGAAGAATCGGGGAGGGCTTTGGGATATGCTCAGTCTCACCTGTGTGCTGAGCTAATGAGCCTCGGTGAGTAGTCCTGGGTAAAGAAGTAATAAATGTGGCAGAGGGTGTAGGGGTAGTGGAAGGTGGTAAAAGTGAGTGAGGGAGAGTATAGAAGGTGCAGGCCATGGCATCACTTGGGGGGTAAAAAGGGAGTAAACTACACTGGATAATACTGTCAGAGGGCAACACCAAAATGACTGTCTATAAAATTCTGTGCAGTATTTCAGCAGAAATTCATTACTTTTTATTTTCTTAAATAAAAATATCCCTGTAGTTAGTTACAACAACAACAACATTTTTCATAAGCATGGCTTATATATTTCAATATACCTACAAGGCTAAAACTCCATGCTAATTTTCTTTTTGAGCCTTCTAACACATTCTGGTCACAGCTGTCCTTTTTACCCAACTATAACGACACTTTGAATCACCTAGATTCGTCTGCATATGCTACAAGCACATGGTGTTGTTTCCATTGCTGCTGGTAGTTTTATAGTCACTGATTTTGTCAGATTTTCTAGTGTTTTAGCTACAATACTGTGGTAATTAGTATTTGTGAACCTATATCAATAACTTTTGAGAATGAAGTAGTAATTAAAAGAAAAAAGGAGAAAAATTATAAACGACTTTTGCTCAATTGCTAATAATATTGTAATTCAATGCAAAAAGATTTTACACAGCAATTTTGTTGTTTGTATTTTATAATCTAAGAAATACTGCATTTAGGCAAATTACAACCATATTTATCACATATTATTCTATGATAAAATTGATAATAAACACCGCTAAGGATTCTATACAGTCCAGTATGGGAGGAGGTCCATGGAGGGTAGGTGATACCATGAATTACCACACTGAGTGACATCAACCCTAGTGATGCCACTGGCTGCTGGGGGTGCAGAGGCATAATATGGGGTAAAGGAGTAGCGTAATCAGTCCCAGGGTCCCTCCTTGTGACCCTGATCATGGAGCTTCTGAGCTCTGCTAAAGTTAGGTTGGCTGTGACTCCTTCCCACTTGCCTGTGGCTGGGGGTACTGAGTGAGCTACACCCCCAAGTCATAGCACCACCTTCCTAACTAATATCTTCCCTTTTCTGTTTAGACACCATGGTGCTAAAGAGGAACTCTCAGAGGTAAGGCTGCTGCCAACACAGTCATCGAAGGTGTTACTTTCCTTCCTATTTTAGCCAAAACTATCCTCCCAGTACTTCTCTCCACTTGGCCATACTTTCTAGGAGACTTAGAATGCATCCCACAACTCCTCCCCTACTCTCCTGGTTACCTGGCTTCCCTGCTGCCAAAATCTCCAGCAGCATACTGCTACCTCCTTGCTCCCCCTGCTCCAGCCCCATGACTCTCCTGCATAGTGCTCATGTCACTGAGGATAATCCTGCCTCGGAACCGTTGCACCCGCTCTTTTCTATGATGTGGAGTGGTTTTCCGCTAGACAGCTACAAGTCTTGCACTTCATTTCCTTCACACATCTACTCCAAAGCCACTACTCATTTTAGGTGGTCTGTTTAAAATACCTCCCAAAAAAATCCGAAGAAAAACAACAGTTGCCATCCAGTTGATTCTGACTCATAGCAGCATCATGTGTTTCAGAGTAGACCTGCACTCCATAGGGTTTTCAATGGCTTTGGTCTTTTGGAAGTAGATTTCCAAGCCTTTTAAGGGGCCTGTGGGTAGATTAGAAAGGCCAGCCTTTCAGTTAGCAGCCAAGAACTTAACATTTGCACCACTCAGGGACTCTGTTTAAAAGAGACTTCCCCCTAATCATTCTCTTTCTCTTAGCCAGCTTTATTTTTCTTCGTAGTACTTTCCACTGGGATTGCATTACATATATTACATTACAATGTGTTGTATTATCATAAAGTGTACATTGCTACTATAAATTCCATGTATTACATAGTAAATACTATATATTAACTTGTCTATTTTATTGGATGTTTATATTTGTCTCTAAAATGCAAGCTCCTTGAGGATAGGGTCTCCCATGTTATCTCTATAGCACTAGCACTTAGCCAGGACTCAAAAATATTTGTAGATTGGAGAGATGTTAGATGTTGTTGGTTTTAAAAAAACAAAACAGAAATAAGGCACTTATAGTTTACAGGTAGATGGGTATGTCTCAGTTGATTAATGCTTAGAGGTGAGGCTGAGGGAGTGGGATAATGGGACTAGGTGTGTGTGGCCCGGGTAGTGCAGAGGGGCACTACTAACCTGCCATACACCAGGTGTGTCTTGGAATGCAGCCATGACCTGCATGTGGAAGCATGAGGAAAAGTCAGTAGGAAAGGGGTGCATTAGATGGGGTGCCTAGGTATGGGCAACATATTCAGGAAACATTCAGGAAACTCATGGTTTCCAGTGTGGCAGGAGCAAATGTTTCCTGAGAAGGTGTGGAGAGAATGGGTCAGAGATATATTTGCCACTCTTGGCAGATCTCACATGCTAAACTGAGTCTGGTCCTATCTGGAAACTTCTGGCTTGCCTTAGAAGGTTTCTGAGTTGGGGAGGGATGAAGTATTTTGTGTGTTACAGAGTGTGGGAGAGAGATAAAAAGGAGCAAGGTGTGAGGCCAGATGGAGGGAGCAGGGCCAAAAAGAAGATATGAGCAAGGTGGGGAAGTTGCTGGCCCAGGGACTCAGGTTGTGGGAAATAGGTGGAGCAGGTGAAAAGGGAAGGAACCCAGGACAGTGCTGTGTTTTCTGGCTTGGGGTAAAGGTGGATAGTAATGCCATTTGGGAAGTAGGTGGGGGACAGGTTTGGACAGTAATTGTGGTGGGTGTGCAGCTAGAGACTTCCAGATAGAAGAGTGGGCATTGAGGACTGCGATTTGGGGTGTCCCGCTATAATTCCTCCCTAGCACTGAGTAGAAAGAACTGGTGGATCTGTACTCAGGTGGGGCATTGGGTAAAGGGCACATTCCTGTAGGAGGTTTGGATCCCTTAGCTCTCCCTTCACATCTATGCACCCTTTCCTAACCCCTGGCCCTGCCTGACTCACACTTGAAGCTACACTTAACTAGTCTCTGATTTTCTTGAGAAAATCACTTTCTCAAGAATCTCTCCTCCCTCTGGTGGTCTGTTTTTTGGCAATGATTTCTGATGCTGGGGTCCCAAACCACATTTCTTTAACTCTTTCCAAGCATTTCTCTCTGTATCTCTCCACCTCTAACCCTCACTCTGTCTCTCTCTGTTCCCTCCTTTGGTTCTTGCCTTAGTGTCACATCTGATCACCCCATTGGACTGGGCTGGATTGGAAGAGATACAATCAGGGTAATCATATAGTTTATCATTCATATCAGGACATTCTGAATTTGTATTATTTTATTATTCCAATTGATTTATGATTATTTATCAGCTAGTACCACATTTTTTTTTTTTTTTTTTTTTTTACTTACAGAGGCTTCATGGTATGTTCTATCATCTAGCAAGGGCTCCTCCCTCTCTCTTTGTGCTTCCTTTTCAGGACTTGCCCAGCTATCTTTGCACATTTAATTTTCCATATTGGAATCATCGTTAGACTCTATCTATGGAAATAAATGTCATGGTATTTTTATTGGGGTTACATTAATATATTAAATTGAAGAGAATTAACTTCTATATGAAATATCCTCCAGGAAAAGCAATTTTTTTTTTCAAGTCTGTCTTTGCACATTTTAGAAGAGTTTTAAGATTTTACTTATATAGGTTTTTCACATTTCTTGTTCAGTTTATTTTTAAGTATTTTATGTTTCTTTTGTAAATGGAGTTTCCCATTATATCTCCTACCTAGTCAATGATGCTATATTGATTTTTTTTTTTATCTTAACATTATAGCTGGGTATTTTATTGAATACTTTTATTGTGTTTGCTTTCTCCTTGATTCCCGTGAGTTTTGGTGATATTATATCATCTGACAAAACGTAGATCTTCTTTTCCAATTTTTATGCCTCTAATTGTTTTCTCCTCCTTAATTCATGGGTTTTAACCACCAATATTAAATAATAGTGAAATAGTGGGCATACATGCCTTGTTCCTGACCTTGGTGGAAAATCTACTGGTATTTTTCATTAAGTAAGAAGCTGACATAAGGCTCAAGTACAGATATTTTATCATGTTAAGGAAATACTTATAAATTTCTATTTTATTGAGTTTTTCCACAGAAATGTGTGTTGGAGTTGGTCAAAAGTCCTTTCAGCATTAACAAGCATGAGCTTATCCTCACTGGGGCTGTACTAGGCAGATCAGGATGCATGGGCATCCTTGTTCTTTGGTTTTGATTTCCTTTTTCCTTCTTTCCTTGTTGACCTATATGATTTTTGGAAGATGTGGTAAAAGATTTGGGTTGAGGCAGCCACTATAATCTTACAGACATCCAATACTCTCTTGCTTTTTTCTTGGTACTCAACCCAGGTCCACAGCCTAATTCACCAAACAGTCCAGCTAGCAGATGCTACCCCAATCAGAGCCTGCCTTATCATCCACAGATTTTACCTAGCCTGCTCACAGTTAGTGGTACACCCCTCTCCAGAGAACAGCTTTATCCATGTGGTAGTTCAGCAGGTTTCATGTCCCCCAGTCTTAGCCCCTTGTTATCAAGCTGTTTTGGATTACCCAATAAGCAATGTAAGCACAGGTTTACCTGTGCTTGCTTACTAATCTGTAGTGAACAATTTCACATTTTTTTCACCACATCAAACATTCTACTTCTAGTGTGGCTGCATCTGTCTCCCAACCCCACAGCACCTTCTCTCACAGAATCAAAGCCTCTTTTCAAATTAACAATCTGTGGTAGGGAATGAGTACCCAGGAAGCAACATAAGCTTGTGCTTACCTTGGCCTGTGAAATTGTTTGCTACAGATTAGTAAGTAAACCTGTGCTTACCTTGCTTATTGGATAATCCTCCCCTGCTGTCTGAGGTGGGAAGAACTGCTCTCCTGATTGCCTGCCTACTCCAGGCATCAGTATCTCAAATGTAAATACTTGCTAGGTCCAGCCACTTTAGACTCACTCTTAACAACACCTGAAGAGGTCTTTTAACTCAGGACTTGTTAAAGACAATAAAAAGGATCAACTCTCTGCTCAGCTCCTGGCTCCTTAAAACAAACCCACTGTCATCGACTCCATTCTGATGGCCTTTAGGACAGAGTAGAACTGCCCCCATAGCTTTCCCAGGCTATAAATGGTTCTGGAAGCAGCCAGCCTCATCTTTCTCAAGTGGAGCAGCCAGTATGTGTGAACCACCACTCTTTTGGTTAGCATCCAAATGCTTTAACTACTATGTCACCAAGGGTCCTTGTTCTTTAGATGAGGAGACTTAAACTTTAGTTCTTCTGGACCCACCATCCATTAAGGGAAATACACAAACACCTGACAGCATTTGAGACACTCTCTTGGAATCCCTTCTTCACCTTCCTGCTACTGCTCTCCATCACCTTGACAACTTGCTTGTCTTCATTGTTGGGTCTATTGCCTTCAAGCTCCATAACCCTGACCTTCTCCTGTGCCTCTGTCCCTCCAGACATGGTGTAGGTATGTGCTGTTCCTTTTATGGTCTTTGATTTGGCCTGTCCCATGAGAATTAACTCTGCCCTACTTTTCTGCTGTTATTGCTCCTTCTTTCATCAGGCAATGTTAGATACCAATGGGCTATGACTAAGTATTCACAATTGAATGACATAAACCATTATTCAACATTCAATTAAGCATAAATATATCATTCCAATTAAGCATAAATATACATTGTAACTGTAAATAATGAGCATGTGACACTACAGTGAAGTGTTGCTGTGGCCATCCATATCTCTATATTAAAGCATTAGAGAGCCTTAGCTGAGAAAGGCACAGCGGTGTCTGTGCCCCACTTTCAGCCCAGGTTCTATTTCATTAGCATCTGGTTTGGTAACTTCTTCACCTGTTCTGTGTTCCTTTTTTCTTTTTTTTATATTTCTCATACTACCATTCCCTCCTGTCCTAACTGATCCACTACTACAAAGAAGTATCTGTAACAGCTTATAGTTTAGATTTTAAGGCATCACTTACCAATTATATCTCCTTATATCTATTTACATTGCCCTTGGTAGCATCTGACAAATACATACAGATGTTTCAACTACAGAAAGTGAGTTTGACCCTTCAATATGCTTATGGACCTCTGGGAATGTCTTTTTCTCTTTTGGTTGTCAAAGTGGACAAGGATTTGTGATTTTGAGTTTGGCAAATGGAAACAGATTCCAGGTTGAGTCCTATCTGAAAAATGTACCACCACCACCAAAATCCAGACGACATTGGTTTTCAGGTTCCTTTCTACGTTGTTCTAGGAAATGTTTCACCTTGTTGGGATTTGCTGAGTAATGCTTTCATACCTGCCTAATTGTGTGTGTTGGACAATCATATGTAAGGGCTAGTTAAAGCATAGTCACTCTGTCCATAAGTCTTCCAGGTAATTCTCTTCTTTTTCAGAGATGCCCAGGTAATTGAGCTGTAACAGAGCAGCCTCCTCAGGAGCAGTTCATGAGAACCTGCCCATGGTTTCCATCTCGGGGGATTTCTTGGATTTGAATGCCAAGGCTGGTGACTGACCTACACACCGAACTCAGTTTGAGAGGCAAATAGAATCTACAGTGCCTCTGTCTTGAAGATATTGCTCTTTTCTGCAATAAGCTGACTGCATATATTTAGGCATGAGTACTTTAACTAGTTGTAGGAAAGGACTTAAGCTAATTAATCCACATCATCTATCCTAATCTCTCATCTAGAAACAGTTCATGCTTCTATGATTAAATTGTTTTTGTGACACTGGAACTTACCCATAGCAAATGCCTCATGGAAGAAGGAACCAAATCCATGACTAAAGCCTCCTTAGCACCACAGTCTTATGGATACTTAAGCAGCACCTTCTGGAACTGGTGGCCTGGTCATCTTAGCTTCCAGGAGAATCCTACATCAAATCCAGGCCCTATGGACAATTTACAGGACTGGTAATCTCCAGTCCTATGAAGAGAGGACTGACCTCCCAGAAGAAAGAAATTGTAGACTGGACTGGAGGTGAGGGGATGTGCAAAGAAATGAAAGAGAGCATTGGCAGCTATGAATGGGCCTGCAGATATTCTAAGTTAAGTAAGTGATGGAACCAATATAGGATTAAATGAGAAAGCAGTTTCAATGTTTTGTAGAAATTTATACAAATGTAAACGATTATTGTTATCCTTACGTAATTATTCTGTGGTTATTATCATATGCATAGCTTATGCATAGAAGAATGACTTGCAGAGGCTTAGGAAACTCACATCATTCTACATATTATTGCCATCAACTAATATTGTTGTGGTATAGGCCCCATTAATATTCCCCTGTAATATTAACTCTGTGTTGCTGTGACTGCATATTGAAAAACTCCAGGTGCATAAGTGGGCTGGTTCTTCTTGGATTAAGTCACTGTCCTCCTGTGTGATGAACAATGAGCTATATTTCACAGCACAGTACTGTGTTACAACAATTTGCCTGGATTTGTGGTGTATCTTTTATCTGACTTGATAACAATGTTGTTCATTAGCTGCCTTTGTTAACTGATAACCTAAAGCAGTAACATGATACTCATAAGTAATTTTCTGTGTGTAAGATAGAATAAACCATCTTGTAATGTATCTGTTAATTGATTTCCTTCTTTTAGCAGCACTGTAATTAAGAAATCTGGTCTGTGAACAGCAGAGACACTTATAAATGGAAGGTGACTGTATCAGGACTCTCAGTAATCTTTTCTTTCCGATAGACTCAAGAGAACCTGGAGTCTTCCATCTCACCCCATAGCATATAGATTCTCCCAGCACCACTACTGGGCTCAGCTTATGTTTTTGTTTTTGTTGTTATGTGCCGTTGAGTCGGACCTGACTCATAGTGACCCCTCCTTGGGTTCCAAGGTGGTATCGCTATGGGAGTAGATTACCCAATCTTCCTTCCAAGGAATGGCTGGTGGGTTTGAACCACCAGCCTTCTGGTTAGTAGTCAAGTGCCTTAGGCATTACGCTTCCAAAGCTCTTACCTGTGTTTTGGCCCCACACAAACTTTCCTATATAGAGAAAAGTATGTTAAAGATAAGTGCTTCTTCCTTATTGTATAAAGGCTGGCATGCTCCAGGAGGCAGCATGGACTGGGGCCCTTGGCAATGAGATCTCCCTGGTTTATATCCCAATTCCAAGCTCAATGGTTTTCATATGTGGCAGTCCTACTGGAAACTCTGAAGTCCCTCATTTTTATTTTCAGACTCCAATGCAGTTTATTTAATTAATTAATTAATTTAAAATGTTTATTGTGATTTGGGTAAAAGTTTACAGAGCAAATTCATTTTCTATACAACAATTCATACACATTTTGTTTCATGATATTGACTGCAATATCCTACATTGTAACAGCTCTGTTCCTACTTCCACCCCATAGTTACCTCTTCCCTGTGTCCTTCCCTCCCATGCTCTACCCCGCCCCCCAAGCTATCTCCCTATAAACACACTGCCCTTCTGTTATCCCACAGTTGATTGCTCCAAAGAGTGTATCTACCTGATGTAAATGTTCAGCCCATATTCCTGTCTATTGTTGAGCTGGAAGACACAGGAATGAGTTCAGTTCCAAACCTGAAGGGTAACTAGGGGCCATATTCTCAGGGGTGTCATGGGGCTCTATCAGAGCAGTAAAACTAGTCTTTTTTTTTTAATGATTTTGAGTTTGGTTCTGAAGCCCCTATTAACAGCCCCTCTTCATGGGGCAAGTTCTGAGTATTGGGGCTCCAATGGGCTCTCAAAAGTGCTTGAGAGCAGCTACAATATCTCAATATTTCTGTTGGTGCAACATCTTGAGTCTTTCAGCCATCGAGGCATGACAGCCTCACCACTATGGTTTAGGAATAGACTTGCAGACACCAGGGGCTGCAATAAACCCTGCCCTCCTTATCTAGTAGGTTCTATGGCCACAGAAACACATATAGGTCCTGGAAAGCCCACCTCACCATGGCAGGCAGAACATGCTGCCCAGAGGGAAGGGGACCAATAGCACTCGAATGTTGACAGGAAGTGCCATCCCAATATGGATGAGGCAGGCTGCAGGGAGCAGCAGGGTCTAATGGGGTAACTTTGGTTTCGTGCCTCCAGAACTCAGTACCTGGAGGAGAAGGTGAGAAGGGAGAAAGTTATCTGGCAAGGTCAACAAATTAAAAACATGTTAAAAATATCACTCCCAGATCTTAAACCTTCTACACAGCCACAGTAGTTGGAACAGCATGGTATTAGTACAACAATAGGTAGACCAATGGAACAAAATAAAAAACCCAGAAATAGATCCATCCATCTATGGACAGCTAATCTTTGACAAAGGACCAAAACCCATTAAATGGGGCAGAGATAGTCTTTTTAACAAATGGTGCTGACAAAACTTGATATCCACTTGCAGAAAAATGAAACAAGATCCATACCGCACCCTATATACAAAAATGAACTCAAATTGGATCAAAGACTTAAATGTAAAACCCAAAACTATAAAATTTGTCAAAGACAAAATAGGAGCAAATCTAGAGGCCCTGATCTATGGCATAAATAGACTACAAGCACAACCCAAAATCACAGGCAGTGGAAGAGAAGCTTGATAATCATCAAACCCTTTAAAAAATAAATTCTTATGTGCTTCAAAAGACTTCTCTAAAAGGGTAAAAAGGGAACCTATATATTGGGAAAAATATTAGCTATGACATACCTGACAAGGGGCTTATTTCCAAAATTTATCAAAAACTTCAACACCTCAACACCAAAAAGGCAAGCAACCCAATTCCCAAATGGGCAAGAGACATGAACAGACACTTCACTAAAGATAATATACTGGCAGCAAACAAACACATGAGGAAATGCTCATGATCATTAGCCATTAAACCAAACCAAAGCAAATCCACTACCATCGAGTTGTATCTGACTCATAGCATATATCTGACCCCTCCCTGGGTTTCTGAGGTAGTATCACTACAGAAGTAGATTGCCCAACCTTCCTTCTGAGGAGTGGCTGGTGGGTTTGGACCAGCCTTCTGGTTAGCAGTCAAGTGCCTTAGGCACTATGCTACCAGAGCTCTTCATTAGCCATTGTTGTTGTTATTGTTAGGTGCCGTCAAGTTATGTCCAACTCATAGCAACCCTATGTACAGCAGAACAAAACACCACCCAGTCCCATGCCAGCTCCATGATCCTTACTATACTTGAGCCCATTGTTGCAGCCACTGTGTCAATCCATCTCAATGAGGGCCTTCCCCTCTTTCATCAACCCTCCACCTTACCAAGCATGACATCCTTCTCCAGGGAATGGTCTCTTCTGAGAACATGACCAAAGTAGGTGACACGAAGTCTGGCCATTCTCACTTCCAAGGACCATTCTGGCTGCACTTCCTCCAGGACAGATCTATTAGTTCTTTTAACAGTCCATGGTACTTTCAGCATTCTTCACCAACACCACAACTCAAAAGCATCAATTCTTCTTTGGTCTTCCTTATTGATTGTTCAGCTCTCACATGTATATGAGGTAATTGAAAATATCATGACTTGTGTCAAGTGCACCTTAGTCCTCAAGGAGACATCCTTGCTCCTCAGCACTTGAAAGAAGTCCCTTGCAACCAACTTGCCCAGGGCTATACATTGTCTAATGTCCTGACTGCTGCTTCCATTAGCATCAATTGTAGAACCAAGCAATGTGAAGTCTTTGACAGCTTCAATCTTTTCTCCATCTATCGTGATGCTGCTTATAGGTCCAGTTGTGAGGATTTTTGTTTTCTTTATATTGCGATGCAATCCATACTACAGACTGTATTATTCATTCTTAATCAGTAAGTGCCTCAAGTCATCCTCACTTTCAGTAAGCAAAGTTGTGTTGTCAGTGTATCATAGGTTGTTAATGATTCTTCCTCCAATCTTGATGCCACGTTCTTCTTCATATAGTCAAGCTTCTCAGATTATTTGTTTGGTATATAGATTGAACAGTATGGGAAAAGCATACAACTCTGACACACTCCCTTCTTGGTTTAAAACCATGCAGTGTCCCCTTGTTCTGTTTGAACAACAATCTCCTGGTCAATGTACAGGTTCCTCATGAGCACAATCAAGTGTTTGGGAATTCCCATTTTTCTCAATAGTCATCAACAATTTGTTATGATCCACACAATCAAATGCCTTTTCACAGTCAATAAAACACAAGTAAACCTCTTTCTGGTATTCTTTGCTTTGAGCCAGGATCCATCTGACAGCAACTATGATATCCCTTGTTCCACATCCTCTTCTGAATCCAGCTTGTACCTCTGGATGTTCTCTGTCAATATACTGCTACAACCATTTTTGAATTATCTTCAGTAAGATCTTACTTGTATGCAATATTAATGATATTGTTCTACAATTTCCATATTATGTGGGATCACCTTTCTTTGGAATGGGTACAAATATGGATCTCTTCCAA